TGGACCATTTGACCAGTGAACCAGTTGACCAGTGGATCAGTGGACCAGTTGACCAGTGGACCATTTGACCAGTGAACCAGTTGACCAGTGGATCAGTGGACCAGTTGACCAGTGAACCAGTTGACCAGTGAACCTGTTGACCAGTGAACCTGTTGACCAGTGAACCAGTGGATCAGTTGACCAATGGACCATTTGACCAGTGAACCAGTTGACCAGTGGATCAGTGGACCAGTTGACCAGTGGACCATTTGACCAGTGAACCAGTTGACCAGTGGATCAGTGGACCAGTTGACCAGTGAACCTGTTGACCAGTGAACCAGATGACCAGTGGATCAGTGGACCAGTGGACCAGTTGACCAGTGGATCAGTTGACCAGTGAACCAGTTGACCAGTGGACCATTTGACCAGTGAACCAGTTGACCAGTGGATCAGGGGACCAGTTGAACAGTGAACCAGTGGACCAGTGAACCAGTTGACCAGTGAACCAGTTGACCAGTGGACCAGTTGACCAATGAACCTGTTGACCAGTGAACCAGATGACCAGTGGATCAGTGGACCAGTTGACCAGGTAACCAGTTGACCAGTTGACCAGGTGACCAGTGAACCAGTTGACCAGTGAACCTGTTGACCAGTGAACCTGTTGACCAGTGAACCAGTTGACCAGTGGATCAGTTGACCAGTGAACCAGTTGACCAGTGGACTATTTGACCAGTGAACCAGTTGACCAGTGGATCAGTGGACCAGTTGACCAGTGAACCAGTTAACCAGTGAACCAGTTGACCAGTGGACCAGTTGACCAATGAACCTGTTGACCAGTGAACCTGTTGACCAATGAACCTGTTGACCAGTGGACCAGTTGACCAGTGGACCAGTGGTTAGAAATGTCTCACAGCACGAAGGTCCTGGTTCAGTTCTGGTTTGGTCTCTCTGTGTGTTCTCGTCATGTATTTACACTTTAGGTGAACAGAGGGGTGGGGTGGGGGGTCTCACCAGTCTGGCTCACAGGTGGTCCCGATCTTGCTCACGGTGTATCTGTTCCAGCCCAGCACCGGGGGGAAGGTCCAGATGAAGGAGAAGGTCCAAACAAAGATCAGGCCCAGCACGGCGTGCTTGGACTGCAGCCGGATGTTCCCTAAAGGCCGACAGATRACGAAGAACCGCTCGAAGGACAGAACAGCCAGAGACCAAAGAGCCACGATCCCTGAGGGGACAAAAACCATAAACTCAAGGGTTCAGATCCTGGTTTCAACCTGATGGAGTGAAAACTCAGATCTATGGTCTGAACCAGGGCTTCTTAACCTTTTTGACCTCGGGGCCAATTAGTTGAACATAAAGTGACACGAGGTCCAGTCAGACATCACCAACGTGTGGATCAAAATGATAATTATTCTAAATCTTGGTTTAATTTTTATTGTATTTACATTATAACTAAACTATCATAACTAACATAACTAAATTAAATACACTTACATTTTAAAAGTAAAACTCCTGTCAAACAATCACAAGACATGGTTATGACAAACATTTTATATTGTAACCTGCCCATAACTATTA